CATTTGTACACTAGCAGTGGAGGTGGCTCGGTGTCGGCTGGCTTGATCCAGGGAGGGAAAAGCCTGCGCTTGTCTGCTTCATACCAAAGGTACTGATCCAGGTACGCGTCAGTGATCTTTTCCAGAGGTTCAACATCGTAAACCGGCACCAGATGACTGTAAAGGTCCATGAACTCAATGCCCACCTAGAGAGAAAATGAACCACTTCAGATGCAAGCTAGGACCAGTAATGGGCTTAGAGGATGCTTGTGGTTACATGAAGTGCATTTAAATGTTGCATGTGTGCAAACCTCTTTGAAGGCTCTCTGAGTGAGGAGGTGACGTTTGATTCTGGACAGAGCCTCATGAGGGTTGTCATAGGCCTGCTCAATCAGACCCAACTCTTCACGCTGTGACTGGTTCAGCCTTGACTTCACACTAATTAAAAGAAACAAAGCAAAGTCAGAAAAGATGCAATCTACACAAAACCAGCTCATCCACACAGGTTGCTGTTATGGGACTGGCCTGACCTGTAAGCTTCCTTGAGTCTCTCCAAAGCCAGGATGAGAAGCTTAGTGTCATGTTTATAGGAGAGAGGAGGGAAGGGGATCGGAGAGAACCGACGGCTCTCCAGCCAGTGCACTGTGGTGGTGTAGATGGCCACGGCCTCTTCAGCAGTGATGTAAGGCCCATCCTATAAGACAAAATATTAAATCACTCATCAATGTGTTCTTTCACGGTAATAGCAACCTGTTCCAGGACATTTTGTGTTACCCAAGAAATCTACCTTCAGGTAATTGTGCTGTCTCTCTTGCTCTGCCTTTAGGTAGAGTCGAGTGAGACGTCCCAGGTTCTTCTTGCACACAGTCTTATCCACAGTAGCTCCTCTTCTGATTCTCTCACGGTTGTAGTGGGCCGTGTTGGTCCACCAGTCAGCTTTGGCCTTCACGTAGCGGAGAATCATGTTCTCGATGGGGGTTGGAAGTCCAGGAACCTGAAACAAGAATAATGATCACTTAACGGTAAACTTTGAAATTGAATAACTTACCATTAATAGGCAACAACAAATGACCAAAGATGTACCTTCCAAGGGATGTTGGCCTTCCAGCACCTCCATGACTCGCTGAGATGCTGCAAGATGGTTCTAGCCTTATTCTGCTTGATACCCTCAGGCATCATATCCAGGATGTCATGCATCACAGCAGCTCTCAGCTCAAGATCAAAGTGAGATTCCACACGCTGTTTGGTCACAGTCTTGGCTACACCCTTAGAGTGTCGACCTAAACGACATTACACAATAAATTAGTACTTGGTAACTTGTAAAACTTGACTACATCTTTCTACATGCTTTTTGCATAGAAATAAAAGCTAATTTTACCCTCAAACTGCCTGGCCAGAAGATTGCCAAGCCACCGCTCCAGAAGAGGGGTGATGCCTCTCATAAAGAACAACCAGACTCTCCACCCTGGAGCCCAGAACCCACAGCCAGGACCTTTTCCAACTGGGCCCTAAAAAACATGTCACTTTAGATGCAAGGCATAGCACCAATCCAAACTTTGATTCAATCAACAAAATGATGTATTTATTTGCATTGAGTGTTACTCACTGTGTTGAAGCGGTAGTAGATGAGATGCTTCAGGTCTTTGCACATTCTGATCTGCCTCATGAGCTTGTACTTGTAGCGGTACATGCCAGTCAACTGACCGACATGGGCAAAAATGTACTGCAGACCATCTGACAACTACAGGATAGACAGAAGACTTTAGTAATGAAAAAATGAGACATTGGTACGGATTAGCTACACAGAAACCACTCATACCTGGAATGCGTCAACGTTTCCAAGCCTGTACTGCACATGACTGTCTACCACAAGCTTGCTCAAACGCAGAACCTCACGGCACAAGTGGAACGCGTTTCCAAATCTGGACTTCTTACGTTCCTTTGTTGTGAGGGTTTTCACAGGCTTCAAGTTGAAGTTGTAGTCCAAGTGCAAGTAGTTGAGGTTCTTTCTGTGAATGAGCAGGTTCAGCATGTTGTAGCCCTGCCGGCACACCTGGAGACCGACTTCTACCCAGTCCAGCTTTGTAGACTGGAAGAATTTGGTGGCCTTGAAAGAACGGAACAGGTATCTAAAATAGATAGGAGAAAAGGTCAGGGAAAATCATCATTAAATGCATAAACACTTTTCCAAGGAACAAGCTCTGGAATAGCAGCCTCACCTCTTTTTCTGTGCCTTAGGTGGTCTGTGTTTTAGAGCGTTTAGCACGTAGTACTTCAGGAGCTTCTGGTAAGACACACGCACCTTCACAGGTTGGCCTGCAGGACAGTGCTCACGATACCTGAAAGTGTTTGGCGAAAAAAGAGCCTCTATTCAGAAATTATAGCCTTCTTGTATGGTCTCAATACTCAAACCCTTCATGGCTTAGGGGTGAGTCACACAGAACACATTTTTGCATTTAATAACACAAGACACAGGGCAGAAAAAAAACAATTGAAGGCTGAAAAATAACTGGAAAAGCAGCAAAGTTGAATACAAAAATGTATTGTGTGAAAACTCCCTTACAGTGTGAAAATGCAGTATACTGTATTATACAAACCAGTTTTTAATAAGAGGCACATCAATAGCCCGTCTGGTTCTTCCGGAGCGGAGATTGAATGGACGAGGTGCCCACAACAGTGCAATTCCATTAGCTGTGTTGTCAGTGTAGAGGGGCGTCTCCTTCAGGAATGGCTCTACATACTCAGGAAGTTCAAACTCCTCATCATCATCTGGCAATGGCTCTTGGCTCTATGGAGAAAACACAAGCTTGCAATTAGTGTGGGAAGAAATATACATCCACAGTTTAATTAAACAGTTTAATTTCTGACCTTAACAGAGTGCCTATGAGAGATGGGGTTGATCAGAGGGTCAAAGTAGAAGGCAGGCAGATCAGGATCCTCAGTCTTGATGAACACCACGTTTGGTGTGTGGTACCTGGATGGACCAGCAGATATCATTGGTTCAGCACACGAATTTGTATAGAACAATAAAATCATAGGTATGATAATGTTTCATACCAGGTGAGGTGCACGTGATGTGGTAGGTTATTGTACAAGTAAGGGAATGCAATTTTGTATTCGGTCCTGATTGGCTGCCTGATGATGATCTTGTTGATGTCATTGAACTCATTCCAGTCTTCATCCCTGTAACCATAACAAGTTAGACTTCTGGAAAAAATAAAACAATCAATAATGCAACAGGATGGACAGTACATACTGGAGGTTAATGTCTCTGACAAGCGGCTCAAATTTGGGCCCCCCTGGAATGGCCATGTTCAAAGCTTTGGAGGTGAAGAAAGCCTTCAAGTCAAACAAGTAGAAGTAGTTTCCATCCACCAAGTCTGTCAGCAGCTGATTAGCCAATCGATACAGAGTGGACATCATCGGTAAAGTGAACTGCCAGCGTCTGTATGTGGTCCCATTCACATATCTGTGAAGGGAAAAGATAAATCATGAGCAAAAGAAACAAGCTAGCCATATTTATGCAACCGTCACTAACACTCACTTTGTGGTATCTTTTAGAGGTTGATGCTCATACAACCAGTCTACAACAGAAGAATCCTCCTCATTGTCCAGCTCCATCTGGATTGCCTCCAGAGGCTCAACATCCAGGATGTTGTCTGCATAATCTAATGGAGGCTCTTCATCATCAAATGGAGGGAAACGCATGCGCTTGAAGTGACGTCTGTCTCTCTTCTCACGACGCATCATGATCCACATTGTGCTGGTGAAAAAAAAAGACATTTCTTGAAGGGCTGCATGATAATTCTATATAAAAAATGAAATTGCTGTATGAAGAAAAGCTTTAAATGCTCTAAACAGTTTTCTGCTTAAATAAAAGCTTGATGGTTTATTGTTTGAAAATTAAGAAATGGTAATAGCCATACATATTAATGTATTTTTCTAAATATTGTTTTTATTTGACAGATTCAATGAAATAATCAATTATTACTACTATAATTATTAGTGAAGCCTTAAAAACAAGTACAACAAACCTTTAATTTTTTCTGAAAAATGAAAAATATTTTTTTCCCCACAGAACGTGAAGCCTAAGTTGCTGTCACCTACCCCCACTGAGCAATGTACACCGGCTCAATAACCCATGGGATTTCGTTTACAAAGGAAATGGCGCCTGTAATGTGGTAGAGCACAGGAACATCTCTGATCTGCTCCCAGGGCATGGGCATGTTCTCCAGCAGTTTGAGTACTGCATGGGGCATATATTTCAGTGCCCTACAAACAAAAAGCAACACAATGTTACTAATGAACATACATGACTGTCTGCCTAATAATGTTAGAAATGGGCTTACCCAAGGTAGACCCTCTTGTCGTGACGGAATTTCCTGTTCGTCATATCACCATGATCCCTGATGATTTTTCGCACATGCTCAGGTGGCATGTCCTCTTTCTGAGCATCCACAAAGCCAAACTTTCTTTTCTCCGAGTAGCGTTTGGCCTGAAGCTGCTGCCATTTCCGAGCTGCAACAAAGAAAAATGTCATTAAAACATTCCGATGTGGTATATAACTTGAGCTACATCAACACAAATCTGGATACATTTAAAAACACATGGTTTCCTCTATGTTTTGGCCTTCTATCTACACTGAGACAATATTTTTGACATGCGAAACAGAGCTTTCTGAAGGATGGATTATTTTATGGATGCATTATTAAGTAATGAGATATTGTGCTAATAAAAACAATTGTGCCAGAGCACTTTATTTAATCAGGTCTCTCGGTGACATCTCAGGGAGCTTTGTTTTTAATGCATGTGCAGTAAGATGATTTCAGTATTTTCCAACGTTTCAGTGTGGACACGAAACTTTTGAAAAACGCTAATATGGACAGTGAGTTGAAAATGAACTGCATGACCAAATGATGTGAGCTCACCTTTCTCTTGCAGTTTCTCCTCAGTCATGTAATCTGGTATTGGAGCAACAGCAGGAGGAGGTGGAGGAACACCTGGAGGCATTGTTCCAGGAACACCTCTGTAGGGGAACGCAGCTGCCATGGCAGCGTCTACTGGAAGGAAGAACAGTAATCCACAAAGTATATGAGGTCAGACTTCAAAACATGCGTACAGAAACACGTTAAAGATTATTGCACTAACACGGCACTACGAAAAGAAGAACCACAACAGCGTTGCTGACTCCCCAGTAGAAAATAGTGAAATAAAAAAAAGGCAAATTCGTCGTTTAGAAAAAAAAACCTAAAGTTTAAAATGCATAAGTTGGGCCAACCACTTTTAAACAAAATACCTAAACCACATCAGAGCACTTAGCCGACTAACTTGACCATGGCGCCTGAATTGTTTTCCTATCGTAAAGAAACTATTACAAGCCTATTACTGATTAAATACAACCGACATATAACGTTACACCTTTCGGGTTAGACATTTTGCAGCTCAAATAAAAATATGTATAATTCTTATTTATGGATGCGCAATACTTTTCGTGTTGTCGCCTCAATAAAGCAGGAGTTAGCATGTTAGCTTAGCTTCCCGTATACTATTCAAACAAACTGTTTCCGCAAGCAAGCATTGCCAGAGATAAAGTCATACTTTTTAAAATAAAAATCAATTAAATAAAAAGTAGCGTGCGCTAGTGTAAATCAAAATAGCTTACTGTTAAAAGCAGTTTCTCGCCAATGAATGTAGTTGTGTGCTTGGTTTGTGCTCAGCAGAATGGCGTACCATGCACGTTGTGCGTATGGTCTTTCGATTCACGAATGCGTTTTACGTATCTGGAAGATCCTACCTCAGCGGAAATTGTGTATTTGCGAAACCGAACGTAAGAAAATGCGTAGGGCCCAACTTCCGGATATGACGATGACACCGGATATGAAAAGTGCTCTTTTTTGTCCTTTTCATGTCTGTTGTTTTCTATGGTTATTTAAGTTCATTCATAGTTGTAAACTGGTGAGATTGTTTGAATTATTGTTAATGATCTGAATGAAATGCATAATTATAAGAAAATTATTTTCTATTGAAATAATATTAATGTATTATATAAGGTAACGTTATATAACCACTACATTGGCAGGAAATATTATGTTATGTTTTACAGTGTTTCTACACTTTAAGACTATTTGTTTCCACAAAATATTTCCTTTAAATTTTTTTACAGTTTGTACCACATATGAATACAACGACAGAGTCACTTGACCTAATATTTTTCTCAAAATGACTGGCCCTCCCCCAGCATTTTAAAAGTATACATTCCCAAGGATATAAAAAGTACTAACGGCTTAAACTTAAATGAATTCACTCTGACTGAAACTAAAATTAATTTACAGTTCCGCAAAACACATTTTACAGAAACAAGTTTTAAACCCTAAACAGGCTAAACATTTTCATTTACAGGCCCACAAATGCACACACAACAATGCTTCTAATTGTAAGGACCAACATGGAATAATTTTGTGAAATGTATTCTATTTTGGTGCTGGAAACGCAACAAAACGCGCCAGCAGGTGGTGCTGATGCATTTGTGAGAAGGGACAGTTCACCCAAAAATGAAACTTCTGTCTTCATTTACATCATTTACTTTGATCCAAACCTGTATGAATTTCTTTCTTCTGCTGAGCACAAAAGATGATATTTAGAAGAATTTCAGTAACTAAACAGTTGATGTAGCCCCATTGACTTAGCCTAGTATATATAGTACAGGCCCAAAATAGACATATGTTCAGATTTGCATGCAATTTGAGAAATACCATGGCCATATTTTAAGGGAACGAAAAAGTGTAAATGAGATATAACGAAATACGTATTATCTATTCATATTACTGGTAAGATTTAGGAAAAGTAAAACATTTGAGAGGAATACAAAGTTGCTAAAGAATAGTTGTAGGACTGAAGAAATAGGATGTCATTGTCATTGAAATATGTGCTGTTTCCTTTTTCCTCTAAAATAGTCGTTGCCGGTTATATTCAAGAGTGCTATTCTAAATGGCCTGTTACATAACTATGGCAGTACTCTTTACCATGTCAAAACACCCATAGTTATATTTGCCCTGCCCTTCACCCATTCTGCTACCACACCTCAAATGAGTTCACCATCATGTCCCTCTTTTACAAACAGGATCATTACTCCAGCGTTTACAGTCTCATAGTCTAAACCATCTGCAGTTGATCTGTATTTGATTGCAATCTTTCATTCTGTCTGTCATTTCTCTTTGCTCTTATGCTGACCATCTGTTGTTTTTAGTGATCACAGCATGCTATATGGAGGCAAGACAACTAAAGTCATTAAACTGTCAACAGATAATAAAAAAAAACCATCAAAAGAAGTCAGTTTTATGTAACTCACTAAATGCTATATTGAAAGAGATCCATGTCTTTATCCAAATTTAGATCGTAACATGGGATGCCAAGGCCACTCTTTCCTGTTGATGCCCAGAAATCATGAGTGTCTCAACTAATGTCACAGGTCAGAGGATGTGTGTCTCTGTCATTTCCCCTCCAATAAGCTATATTTTACAACATTGACACGTTTTTGGGGAATTTTATTCCGATGTAAAGGCCTTCATGTGTTCATTTAAAAACAGATTAAAATGAATTTAAAAATAACTTCTCAGCAAAAACGTTAGCCTATTGTTCCCACTTGGTTATTGTAATGGAAACCAATTTCTAATGTGACGTAACATTTTATTAAGGGGTGAACATTCCCAGAACATTATGTTAGCTAATTCATTATAAAAATCCATAAAGAAAGCATGTAAGATATTGTCAAGCCATGTTACATTCAACCCCCGAAACTCCATTCTCCATTCCCGTCAAAGCCAGGAGATATTTCCTTTAACTTGTCATCATCAAATTTCTGCTTGAAGTGTGTGCAGGGGAAATGGAGTAGGCTCCTCCGGTGTTTACCCTGGGAATGTCGAGGACAGGATGCTGAAGCCTAGAGGAAGCCCTGACGGCAGACTCTCAGCGCTCACAGCAGCTCAGAGTCAGGGAACGTATCATTGCACATCTGGCTGTGAGACGAGTCCTGGACTCTCCTTACACATCTATAACGACCTGCATTGACTCTGTTTGGCGGTGGGTAAATTCTACATCAGCCTGATTTGCTTCATCTTTCTCTGTATATAACTCTTCGTTTATGAATATCGTCCCTCATTCTTCTGTATCCAACAGAGAAGAAGCACCAGTGAGGGTTGAACCCCTCACAACAGTGGCTGCTAGAGAGGAAGGACACTCATAGAAAGTCAAAGAGACACATCATGATGGAGTTGAAGATCCAGCTCGTTCCCACGGGAGAAATCATACTGTCTCCAGGGAAAAATGGAGAGATTTACTGCCAAGGCTGCAATAAGGTATGTCGCTTTAGATCAAATCCTATGCTAAATGAATGTGTCAATCTAAGATAAGAACAGATAATCATTTTTAATTTGCATAACTAAATAAAGACAACTGCACCCAGCAATTTCTTAACAAATTGCTTATTGTGAATAATAGCTGTCAGGATATTCTGTGCTCAGCAAAGCATGCCATAGATTTGCATGCCCTAAAACCGAGGCTCATTAGAATTTTCCCTGCTGTGTAAGATCTCGATTTTCGGCATATGCTTGTTTATAATAAAAGCAACAGTTGCAAGTGATTGCAATAAATGCATGGTGTTCAGACTGTGATAACCCTTTCGAAAAAATAACAAACTACCATTCTGTTTTCTACAACACTCAATGATTATGAACTAAAGATGCAGAAATACATAGCTGTTTGTAGTTAATATTAAGGTTTTGGTTTTGAGAAATAGGTCTGGATTGCTCCATCAAGGAATGTGAGGTTTACACTAAAACCTGTCTGTGCACAACGAAAATGACCATTAACTCTGACATAAGGTTGAATGTTTCTTATGGATTGCAAAAATGTACCTAGTTTGTTTGGCATTAAAGGAGTTGTTTGTGATTCTTTAGCTCAAATATGCTTTCTACTTTGTTTGAAAATCATTCTTTTGACTTGTTTTGTTCTGTTCTGTTTCTTTCGTTATGGTTCATTTGGTCTAGTGGTCATGCTGGAATCTAGCTGATAAGAATATATTTTGCACATATTTTGTTAAGAAAAAAACTTTTCTAATTGGAGAACCACTTAAAAACTATTAATTTAAAAGCGGTTGGAATGGAATGCTACTTTGGGGAGGAAATGACACGTTCAAATTCCGGAACGGCATACTTTTCCTGACTTTCTGGCAAGGTCATGTCACCCTTGCTGGGTGTGTTTGAGTATGAGTGGGTCTGAGTGGGAAAAAGAGAGGGAGGGACATTAATAAGAAGAAAAAAAAACACTGTACTAGGGTGTAACGATATCCTCATGTCACGATTCGATACATATCATGATACTGAACTCATGATGCGATATTATTGCGATACTCCAAGACATGATATTGTGGGTGTAAATGAATAGGTTTGATCTTGGCACCCACATTGCATTATTCTACATTTTATTCAACATTATATAGTAGTTTAATGTATTACTGACAAAAAAAAAAAAAAAAAAAAACCCTCTGAAAACTTGTATTTTTTTCTCACATAGTAATTTTCATTTTGGGTGAACTATCCACGATACATATTGTTGCAGTTTTGTATTGCGATATATTGTAACACAATATATTGTTACACTCCTACTATTATTAAATAACTGATGAAGGAAGGAACAATAAGTGTAATCCCTATTTCCACCTGACTGGTGACACACCCTTTAGTACAGCCCGTCTGTCCAACCTTGCCTTGTAAACAGGATACAACCTTTCCTCTCGGTTCAGCTGGTCGGCACAAATGTGCTTAATGTCAGTCCAGGGTTTGGTGGTCTGAAATTTGAAGAGCACAATGGCAGAATCAATCACTTCACCCTCTGGCTACAGCATGACACTGCACTTGACTTGGATTAGCAGGCGTGAGGTCACCTTGACATGGGGGTGTTTTGTTTCAGCAGTGTTTATTGATATGGTGGAATGTTTACGGCTTTCCTTTCACAGGGAATGCGTTACATACTGTGTGTGTTTGGTGTGTGTGAGAACTGAAAAACAGATGCTCAGAATAAATGGCTGCGATTCTGTCCCTCATATCACATCAACTGGCTACTGGATGACATAATACAATTAAGACCAGTGCAATACAATCTGAGAAAAGGGTTGATTTGAGCACAATGATGCCAGAAGTAAAGCTCTGTAGTAAATGTGAATTTTTTTGTAGGCCCACATTGCAATGAAAGATATGACTTTACAATGGGTATGTCAATTTTTGCAATTATTATAAAAAAATGTTTTGTATAAATAAACAAATAAATAAATCTAAATACAACATTACAACACAATATTTATCAAAGCTAAAGTTAAAAAGTAACATTTCAACTAAATGTTTATTGTTTTCATCACTAAGGAGAACTAAAACCTGAATCCATAAAAACCTTTTTTATTACTTGAAATAAAATAAACATGAAATTGAAAATGAAAATGAAATAACACACAATACAGGCATATCAAAAAGTATAAAAAGCTTGATGTACTAAAATAACTCAAACTCGAAAATGACAAAGAACAAAAACAATATAGACATTTAAAAAAACATGACAAAGTGACAAAAAACATAACAAAACGACTAAATCTTTAACTAAAATATGAAATAAAATAAATATATAAATTAAGTCTGAATATTATAAATAGTACCTTAGTGAGAGGCTACTAACTGCAATCTTCTATCTAGACAGCAAGGGCCTTCGAGAAAGACTGAAGACCTCATGTGTGGACATTCATGCTTTTTCTTCTGTGTTGTCAGTAGAGGGTGATATAACGCCAGCGTGCTCTCAAGTAACGCATACTTTCTCTCAAGATTGATATATTTGTAAATATATATATATATATTTATAGTTATTTTTGACAGAAATCACACATACAAACGACTCTATTCGTTCTGAATAAACACTTTTGCTTATTATTTTGAGGAAAGTAAGCAGCCGTAGCCTATACTGTTATTTCTGCTTTATAGGCTATTTAAAATCATAATAATAATAATGTAAAAAAATCAAGTCTTAATCGAAACGCCCTATAAATTTTGATTAAAAGCTCATAGTTTTACTGTGATGAAATAAGAGTTAAAGAAATATTTTATTAGTCGTGGGATTGGTTTGGACTTCCTGGTACAGTGTCTCTCGTGCGTGTGCGAGTGAGCGAGTGAGCTCAGCGAGAGAAAGAGGAGGGCGGGTGATTGCCGGCTGGTAATATTTTTAACATTGGCTTTCAAACCATTACTGAGTACATGTCCTACCTATAGCATGAACTAGAGCATGGATATCTGTTTATTTAACACACAAATCCCCAGTAGTCATACATCTGCTTAAGTGATCTTAGCGACTTCTGTCACACTGAGGTAAATATTCTGGTCGGTGGGATTCACACAAGGGACAAATCCAGATTACAGCTGAAGTTCGAGAACAAGTTTCCCATCATCACTGCTGAGTTTCTCTTATGCAGTATTACAGTGAGCGACCGGTGCTTTTGGACATAGCGGAGACTGAATTTGGTGTGCTTTATTAATCAAGGTAAGTGAGTTTGCGTGCCATTCATTTTAAAAGCACAAGGTCAGTTTACGCTACGTGACGTATTTTGAATCCACACGTGTGTGTTTGTGGGTGTCAGAATGCTGATAATATTTCGTAAGATTGGTTTCTTGCATATTTGGGATGTCCAATTGGTAAACGAGTCTTATAATGCCAATGAATCGGTTGAAACGGTTCGCCAAATCGGACTGAACGATCTTTCCAGAATCAGACTAGACATTGCCGACAAATTAGCTAACGTTAGTCAGAATTAGTCAGACTTTAAACTATCAAAGCCGAGAAGCATTGATATTGAGAGCATTTGAAGAGAGGCAACCGATGATTAATATGGCGAAATACTCGGAACTAAAACAGAAATATTTAAATAAAAATAAATGGCACACTCGTTTGTCGTAAAAACGACCATGACTAACGTTACGCCATAATGTAAAATAACTTTTTTTTTCTAACAAACGGTTCGAAGGAACTGATTCGCGGAAAAGAGTCGTACTCGATGTTTTCGCTTACTAGACTTGTAAGCTCCCTATTTAGACAGCATTTTATGGCAGTATAGGCGCCTGGCAGCTCAACTGTGTTTTATGCACAGCAACTGTCAAGTGTTATGACCTCACCTGTTAATTTACTGCATGTTATCCATGAAATAACTTCCCAGACCTGTTCAGATCTTGATTCAAATGCATGATGGTTATACAAACAAACAATCCCCCATCTCCAAAAGCTTTATTATCAAACAATACTATAAGAGTGTATTGAATAACATTTCAAGTGATTTGGGTGGCTTCAGACCACATTTTTTTTCCATGACTCAGATGGGATGACAAGAGGAGTTGAAGGAGACCAGCTGTTAATTATCTGTCATGCCAAACTAACCTCCCTCAGTCCAATTAACGTTACATTGGGAATTCCACTGGGAATATACAACCCAGTACAGACATTTTATGTAAAATACGTGATTTTTTTTTTTTTACTATACTGTGTAGAGTGTGTAAATAAGAGAGTGTTTCTGTCACCTGTGAGGTTTGAGCAGCCCACCACTGATGACATGTTGAGGTCGGTGGCAGGTCATGTCCTCAAGTGTCCTCACTCACATCCCCCCTTCTGTGTCATTCCTGTTTCCATGTGTTGCAAAACCTAATGAAGATACGCCTGTCAAATTGAATGGATTGCTTGCAATGGGACCCTGTAGATTTTTGTTTATTGTGCAACATTGCATGCATGGTGTAACTAGTATAATTGACAACAATTAGGAGCTGACAGTTGCTTAGGCTTCTGGATGAATAATGCTATAAGCCGTTTTGCAAGAACTATAACACATTTATTTAGAATGGTTGTGTTGCAAAAAACTTGTAAGACATCCCTGCAAGCCTAATTAACTCAGGGTTGTAATTGATACATGGTGACTAACTGTGCCAAATACTTTGGGATGGAGCATATTTTCAGAGCAGCGGGACTCTGGTTTTTGGTTGGAGGCCGGGAGACTTTCTACTTGAACAATTTTCCAGCTGTCCCCAGACAATTAAGTTTCTACGTCTGTCAGCTTTTCCATTGTGCAAGGAAACATAGGCTAGTCTAACTTTGTATTAGGCCGAAACATTTGCTTTATCCACTGTTGAGACTTCTTGTTTAGTCTGTTTCTTTATCTTCCAATTACTCCATTCGTCATGTTTATGAAGATGGTGAGATTGCGGAGGAATATTTGGTTCAGCGTGGGAGGGCTGTGCCTCATTGCTGGTCTGTCAACCAGACAGCTGTCAGTGTGTCCCAGAGAGAGCTCAGAGGGGATACACCTGTGTCTGAAATGCTCAGAACAGGAAGTTCTCAGGGTTAGCCAACCACATAAACTTTAAGCTGAAGCTGCATTCTGCACCTAATTGACTGTATTTGTTGTAGCATTAGATTTATATAAAGTTGAACTTAACCATATTTACTTTGCTGGTGAAGTTGTGAATGATACATTTGTCTTAGAATTCATTCATTCATCAGAATCTTCCGCCTCTTCAAGTCCCACACTACTTTTTGTTCTCGTTCAATATCCTGTTTTGGAAGTGCATGACATTAGTGAAGTAAAATGGGTTGCGAGCACCTTTCATGTTGACTTTAAACATTTAGTCTTTAGCTTTCTTTGTGTAATTGTGTGGTACAGAGGAACAGAGTGGCGTTCGACTTGATGGCCTGTTTGTTTACATTATAAAGAGCTCAGAAAAGCAGGTTTTAATCTAGTTTTTTTGGTTTGAGAACTGGAGGGAGCAGAGGGTAAGAAAGAGACTGTGGACTTTTGTTGTAAATGTCTTTATGCCCTGTGGTGAGTCATGAGCTCATTGCAGGATCTGCAGTTTTTCTTAATTTAGCTGTGGCTTTTCCACGTCAAATTTCCCATCGAGGCCCTGCCCTTGGACTCCATTCTGCTCCATATCAAGGAGAAACGGCAATGCCCAGACCAAAAATATTTTTTTGGTACTACAGCTCTAAAACTTGGTTTATTTTAATGCCATTTTATTTTAAACTATCGGTCAAAAGAACATTTTTTTTAATTAATTTTTTTAAAGAAATTTTGTCTCACTGTGTTTCCACAAAAAATATTAAGCAGCACAATGATTTTTATATTGTTAAGAAATGTTTCTAGAGCACTAAATCAACATCTGTAATTAGGGATTGACCGCTAAGAAAATTTTTCCCGATAACCGATATATTGGCCGATAAATCTAATTCTGTCGGGACCACTATCGTCAAATACGATTGGCAATTAGCATACAGTTTGGATTGGTCGTATGGGTCTGTTCTGAACGAGAACTTCCAGCCATCCATGCAGCCTAGCATGGATAAGAGCAGGGACAGCAGCAATAACCACCTTAGGGTAAACAGAACAGAACCAACATTGACAACATAATTAGAGAATTTTAGTCTGATTCAGCAGACTGATCTCATGAAATGGCGTATATATGACACGGCAATTCGTATTTCCATTTTTGGCTTGCTATCAACACACATAATGGCTTTCAGCGTGTTTATGAACACCGTTGACTTAACGTTACATTACTGTATATGACCTAAACCAACCACGTCCCTAAACCTACCCGTCACTGGGTTAATACCATTTATGAGTCTTCCCCTACCATCCTAGGAAAAAAAATATCACTCCCCAGATGTAGATCTAGATTTTGCGGCGGACATTTAACGGCGTGTGCATACACGCGGAATTACTCGGACATTTAACGGCGTGGACATATACACACAGATAGCTCAAAATGTGAATAGATAACAAGCCACTTGATTTGAAAGTGGCATTTATGTTTACGCAAAAGTCATGATGTCATGGTGCTATATTTCTATTCGACTTAAACATCAAAAGACCTCAAACTTTTGAACATTATTTAAAAATTTCTGACTTTTAGTGCATTAGATTTAGATCAAACATTCAAGTCAGTCAAACCTTTTCTCATCCGTCAAACATTTTTCTCATTTCTCATGTATTTAGCTAAATGGCTGTTATTTGAGATGCTTATATTACTCATCGTGTGCTGACTGTGGATTTTAGGAGCTTAAGATCCTCGGTTTGCTGACACACATACTCAGACTACTGATTAACCTGACGTGTTAGATATTCTGTGATCCTTTCCCCTGGGATTACAGTCTTCCTTGATTGACAAGGGCAGACACTGGGGCTGGAGTTGAGGGATTATTGTAACATGAGCTGAGGTTACATTCCTTCTTCCAGAGGTGCACTTCGAGATGAGATTACAGCAGAGATTGCATCCTTTCACTGTGCCCCCATGTTATTTTACATCAGCTTGTCCGTGCCTGTTTGCATCCATTCATTGTTTCATCACACATGCTCCACAGACATGAACAAGGCAGGCGCTCTGCTCCTTGTTCCTTACTGAGCCTCAGTGACCTTTGTGACTCTAACCCACTGTAGATAAAACAATGGTGCCCTTAAAGCATGAGAACGAAACCCATTATGTGTTATCTTGTTCATGGTACCATCCTTCACATTCTTACGTCGTCATGCTGTTAACCGCTCAGGATAAATCAAGTCTTAGATTTCAGCAATGGTCTTTATCAAATACCTTTGAAGTGAAAACTTTATGAGCTCCTTTCAGATCTCACCGTGATCGTGAGAAGTGAAAGGCATGGGTTAACCTTTAACCAGGCTCTCTCCTGCATGGAGATAAGTCATGCAATCCGGGCCAGGTGTGGCCTTACAGCCAGACCACAGAAATGTGCATATTGTGCCTGAACGTTCCAGAGTGGTTGACCATTTTAACTAAATGTATTGTCTCCATAGTGGTCATATTTGGAAAGTCAAGGATGGATTCAGAAGCATAGAGTGAAGTAAAGCTAAAAAAAATTATTATATAGTTGACTTGTACAGTTTTTAATGCGCTGAAACAGAATGAAATGACGTTTCAAAGTTTTGATGTTATACGTTAGCTTTAGCACATTTATCCATTGAGAACGCACTACATGTGTGCAAAATATTACACACCTTGAGAAAAAGATTGAGTTAGTATTTACAGTTAGGGTGTCGTACTAGTTTTACTGGAGTTAGAAGAGTCACAATTCGGCTCTTGCACCCTATTATAGGGGGGCATGTTTAGGAATTTTATCGCATGTTGGATTTTGGTGATATCGCAGTAGAGATAAAGGAAGTGTGTGAAACCTAGTCCTGGCATGTTTCAGAGCTTTCAACATCAGATTTAGATTCAGCATGCCTACTACACCTCATTAAAGCACCTCATTTCCCACACATGGCAGTTGCTTCCAGACGTGGAGTGACTCAGTTAAAAAAACAAGGAATTGACTATGTAAGACATGTAGTAATAAGCTCTTCCAGACAATGAAAGGTCTTTATGTGTATCCATTCACTGGAAAAGAATGGATGTATGATGTCATTAGAATTGGATCTGTTGTCATAGATACTGAGCACATCCAGTTCAACAATTGTCTTTATATATGTTTTTACATTTTTAACCATGATCTAA